ATTAGACTGGACAAAGGACCAATACCAAAGGGCTGGCTTGGGTCTGCAGAACTGGAGATATAAAGGTATTGCTTGATCTTTGATGGACTGTAAGGGTCAAGACGCTGGAAAACATCCAGAATCAGGGTGATGGGAAGAAAGAATTTTGAGCTAAAGAAACAACCTTCTCAGTGAGTTTTTGAATGACTTGGTGCACACATCTTCCCCATTTAAAGTTGCAGAAGAATATCCTACTGTGTATGCAGTTCATTATTTTTGCAAACATTTTTGATCACTAGGACATAAAAATACTCCTGCAGAAACCCACTTTCCTCTCTTGTATTAAACAGTTGAACAGGTTTGATGATCTTTGATTTCATTTCCTATTAGGTAACAACAGCCTAATCCAAAGCCCACGGAAGTCAATGGAAATGAGTTCTGAGTGCATAGTGTTTACCAGGTGCATTTTGCGCATTATATTTGCCATCTCTTAGAGAACCCACTGTAGGCCTTACCTGACCGATATCATTAATAGTATTACTGTTGTGTTGTTGTGGGGTTTTTTGTTTGTTAAATAGATTAATCAGTCTCCTAACTGAATGGATACTTACTGTCCAGTTGGACAGCAGGCACCTGGCAACCCAGACTTTCTCTTTGAGATCTTATCCCGTGGGGAGCATTACACCAGGGTATAGAGAGTCTCATGGTTTGGTGACCCTCTGCCTCTCAGCATGGAGTTTGTGTCAAACGCTGCAATGCTGCCTAGGGACTCAAAACAGAAAGAGGAATCAACCCATTTTCAGAAGGTATCCTATGCTGAGGACGGATCACATAGAACGCAGCAGACTGGCAATACTCTGAACCGATAACCAATCCCTTCTAATGTTCAACCAAAAAGAAAAAGAAATTCATTCAGCCTGAAGGACCACCTTGAACTCTGGTGGGAATGCCCCTGAAGTCAGTGTGGTCACAAGCTCAGCTGAGGCATCGCGGTGCTAAGATAAGACAAGTAGCCACCACCAGAGCCGAACGTGGCCCAATACGTATGGATGAGGGCACAGATTTACTTAGACTGGGAGCTCTTTGGGGCAGGGACTGCCTTTGTTCTGTGCTTGTGCAGCACCAAGCACAATGGGGTCCTGGTCCATAAGCAAGGCTCCTAGGGGCTTACCACCATACAAATAGAGAATAATAAAATATACGATTTACACGCCAAGTGTCTGCATCTCCAAGGTCCTGCCCCTCACACATCAGTGCCTTGCCATTCAGTCAAAGTACACTTGGATGGGACCGTCAATGGACCCTGTCAAACTTGATCCCTAATTAACTGCAAGGGTTGCTTTCACAAGGCACAAATCCCTGTCTCCGAGGCTGAAGACATTGGCTCCACGGCCACTCCCAGCCCACAACTGAGTACAGAACCTGGGTCTCCCGGCCAGCAGAGTCTGTATCTCTGACACCAAAGCAGGCAGACTTAAAACTACTTACTGTTCTTGAGTGCGCTGGCAAACTCTCGCCCACCTTCCTTTTTAAACGCCGGGAATGTATCTGGCTGTGGAAGCTGGTTGGCCGTTAGGAGCGCTTTCTGCAGTTTGATTCTCCCTTCTAACAGCTGGTCCCACAGTGCTTTAAAACACAGAGGAAACAAAACATGGATTACATATTCCAAAGCATTTATTCACCCACTTTCCTGTGACCCTGCCTCCCAAAGACTCTGAATCAGAAAGCATCAGCCACTTCTCTTTGCTCTCCTTCCCCAGCAGCACTTTCCTATTGCAACAACACTTTGCAAATGGAGACTCATTATTTAATGGGACAACTAGATAGTAGCTGCCTAAAAGCTTCTCAAGGCTTCTGTTAAAATTCACCAGAGAAATTCAAATTGTAGACCTGCCAAAGCCAAAGTGCACACAGCTCCATCATCTGACATGACAAATGCTGAACAGCAAGGAATGGCACGCAGCACCAACGCAGCTCCTACACAGTATATCATGCCCTGCAGCGCAAAATCTGGACTGCAGGGAAGACGGAACCAGTGATGGGGGCAGGGGATTAACTACAGAATCCCCACAAGGTGGGAGCAGACAATCAGCATGTCATGGTTAACACCTGCACTGATGGGTTGTCATCACCAACCTAGAAGCTTCTGGGTTAGCAGAGACAACCAGTCATACAGGCTAATGAAGGACCACCGAGAGAAAATATTTAATCATCACGTACATCAACTTTAGAAAAAACTCATTATAAAGGAAGTGAGGAGAATGTTTAGTTTCCATTGTAATCCATCATTATATCCCCATTAAACCCAAAATCTTTCACTCCGGAGGATGGAGCTCACAAGGATATAGAAAACGGGCACCTCCTCTCCAGCCAACACACTGGGATGGATTACTAAAGCCGTGGTTCTCAGGGGCCACAAGCAGGTTTCAGGGGTTCGCCAAGCAGGGCCAGCATTAGATTTGCGGGGGCCCAGGGCAGAAAGCCAAAGCCTGGGGCTGAAGCCTGAGCAACTTAGTTTCGTCGGGGCCCCCTGTGGTGTGGGGCCCCGGGCAATTGCCCGGCTTGCTACCCCCTAACGCTGGCCCTGGCTTATATATGCAGAAAAACAGCTTTTTGTGGCACAGACGGGTCATGGACTTTTTATAGAGTGTTGGGGGGGCCTCAGAAAGAAAAAGGTGGAGAACCCCTGTACTAAAGCACACCAACACACAGACTAGTGTCTGAGTCCCTGAGCAGCACATACAGTGCAATAAGTCCTTGTTTACAATGGTACCATAACAATGCTCAACACTGGTTCAGCTAAACCGACTGCTGACAAAGTATTAGTTTAATTCGGCAGCACAGTCGAGGCCACAGTCTATGGAGCAGAGCTGGTAGAACACTTGCTGTAAACTCCTAAAACTACTCCAGTGTGTGCTGTAACATGCAAATGGGTTACAAGAGTTCTTAGCACAGTTCATTTCTCTAGCATGGCATAAGGCTCATCAAAATACAAAGCAAATTCCATGTACAAACCTATTTGGTTTTTCACAGCTTTTCCTTTTTCTACTTCTTCAGACACTTTTTCTTTAGAGAAGGTCACCACCCCCCCGTCATCCTCGCTCTCTTTGGCATCTGCCACGTCCTCCTCACTTGCATCCCCTGATTCTTCTTCATTGCTCCCTTCTTCTTCATCCTCCTCTTCCTCATCCTCCTCTTCACTGCTCCCCACATCATCCATCCCTTCCGTAAATTTCTCAAAGTCACGGATGTTCTGGAAACTGAACTTTGGTGTTTGGAGCTGGGCAGATGTTTCTCTCCCCTCCTCTTGGTCACTTCCCAAGTCACCCTCCTGGTCATCCTGAGAGCTGCTGTGCTCATCGTCCTGATCAGCTGTAGCATCTAGAATGTCCTCATCCAATTCTTCCTCCAGATCTCCACTGTCTAGGTCTCTCTCAGATGATGTTTCTTCATCTGATAATTAGAAAAGGAGATATTTAAACAAAGTTATTTCATCACAAACTATGGCTGCAACTCTGCAATATCCATTATCAGTAAGGCTGCGAATCTTTCACGGAGGTCACGGAAGTCACGGATTCCGTGACTTTCCAGGACCTCTGTGACCTCCGCAGCTGCAGCGGCCAGTGTGGCTGACCCCAGGACCGCCCAATCAGCTGGGGCGGTCCTGGGTCCAGCCGCACCGGCCACTGCTCCAGCGGCCCAGGCTACTGGTCCTGGGCAACTGGTCCCAGGCGATGAGGTCCGGGAGCAGCAGCGGTGCCACAGGCCAACCCTGCCCAGAGGAGCATCAGCAGTGGTGGGGCCCCAGCCCGGAGCGGCAGCGGGGGTGGCAGGGCCATGGGCCACCTCCCACCTGGAGCAGCAATGACAGGGCCCCAGGCTGCCTCCCCCCGCCCTCCAGGAGCAGCAGCAGCAGCAGGGCCCCAGGCCACCCCCCCACCCCCAGGAACAGCAGCGTCCACTGGATCACATACCCCGTCCCAGCAGGTAAGATTTAGTTAGGGGTATTTTTAGTAAAAGTCATGGACAGGTCACTGGCTGTGACTTTTTGGTTATTGCCCATGACCTGTCCATGACTTTTACTAAAAATACCCGTGACTGAATCGTACCCTTAATTATCAGCATCCAATTGGTGGCCTGGCCTGGTTTAGCTCTCTAGTCCACTAGGGATAATTCTAGGCACAATTTTGCTCCTTCCTTAGGCTTATGAGGATACATCTGCAAGCTGACCCTTAGTTCACACTTTTCTGCAGTAACAGTCACTCCAACAACGATTATCACATCCATTGATTAGCTGACAGCCTTTCCCATTTAATAATGAAGCAATGTTAAGCAAACAAGGTGCTCATGCTTTGGTACACGTCTTTATAATGAGAAATTGTACATAAGCACTAAGCAGCTACAATTCCCAAGAGCTGACAATTTAAAGATGGCAGATAGTTCTCCCATTCCACATGGAGTTCACGGCACTTTCCCTGCCAGGTAATTTAACCTGACTGAACTTTTTGTACCTGAGATTTAGTCACTCCCCTTCCTTCATCCGCAGGGAGCAGTTATAGTCCTGGAGACTTCCCTTTCCCAGGAGCTAATGAATAAGGCTACGATTCAGCACAGCACTTAAGAAGCCAAGCTTAACTTTAAGCACATGAAGTCAATGAGACTTAAAAACCGCTGAGCTGGGAGTCCTGTCATGGTGCAGAGCTCCAGTGTATGAGCATTCCACTTACTGCCTGTAGTTGTGGCAATTTAGGGTCGCCTGGGGGGGTGCGCAGGGGACGGACGGAAAGGCGGGGAAGGAAACTAAATTTCTCACCAAATGCTGCTCCAGGCAGAGGCTCTCCCCATCGTTCTTCCTGCAAGGTCTGGCGAGATACAGCTCTCCCGCTGTACCTCTTATCAGCTTCTAAGAGGGAGGCGGAGGCTCGTTTCCGTATATTGCCGACGGGAAGGATGTCATCTTCGGTTCCGCCCTCATCAAACTTGTCGATCACCCTGGCAGCAGTGGCTGTGAAGAGGAGAGGGAGTTTAATAGTGCAGGGTTTCAAACTAAGAGCGGAACTCAGGCTTGCTAGACAGGAGAGGGATTCGATCTAGGACTGCCAGAAAGTAAATATCTATATCCTCCTTGGATTCAGGGGACTAGAACTAGGGACCTTGCATTCCACGTACGCTGGCCTCTAACACATGAGCTAAAGGACAAATCATATTAGGAGCTGTATATAACTGAGCTGTTCAGGGCGTCACTTAGGCACACATAGCCCACAAGCTTCATTTTTGGAATCAAAACTCATCAATACCTATCTGGCTCTCGCCACTTCTGGACGGGCTTCTCCTAGGTTCACCAAAAGGGACGTAAACCTCTTGATGGACCAAGGCCAAGCTTTAGGTGCTTCAAAAACAAAAAACCCCTGGTCAGATTCATCCAATTTTGGTAAGAGCATATTAACACAGAGCTACTCATATCCTCTGGAGGCCAGCTTCTAAAGGCCAACAAATTACATGCCCTGAACGTAGGTCTGATTCCACCCAACAGGGGAGAGTGGGGCAGTATATTCAGACCTGCTTACAACAGTTTGGGTCATTGTAGTGGGGCAGTTACCCCGCTCTGGTGGAAAAAGGCCAGGCTGATTGGGGAAGCAGCCAAAGGTGGGGCCACGCCCCAATCAAGCCACACCTGGCCCTGTTATAAGATCTCAGGGAAGAGGTGGGTCACTCTCTCTCTAGCTGTGGAGAGAGAAGGACCTGGCTGCCTGGGAATAGGGTACCTAGAGCAGAGCAGTCCTGAGGAAGGGCAAGAGGAGCTCCAGCCTGGCAACTCCCCAGGCTGAGGCCTTGATAAAGGCCTATGCGGGTACTGGGGCTGGGAGGTGGTTGAGGCAGCTGGTCCAACCCCCTTGCCAATGATGAGTGGCCAGGACAGACTGCAGTTTGCCCCATTGAGCGGGGGCTAGAGGATGACTGGCAGTAGCCACTGAGGCAAGGTGGGTGTAGAGGGTTGGGGGTTTTCCTGGGAGGGGAGACCCAAAGAGTGGGGGTACTGCTGGGGGCAGAACCCCGAGGAAAGGGGCACTGGGGTCTGGGAAGGACACGGGGCCTGAGGCAGGCAAGACACCAGCCAACAGAGGGTACTCCGAAGCTGGAAAAGAGCTAATTCCCAGGATGACCAGCAGGAGGCGCTGCACCGGTGAGTCGTCGCTCGCTACAGTCATCAACAAGGAGTAGAAATTGAAGCAGCGTTTATCAGATATGACTCCTTCCCTATTGGCAAGCAGAGAGAGAACGAATCGGGCTCTTCACTTAGACCACTCAACAGCCGTCACATGGGAACAACTTTCAGTCACTACCAACCTAGCCTGGACTCATACGAGTGACAGTAGAGAAAGCAGTCCTGATACCCCCTTATAAATCCACTTTCCCCAACACTGTAAGGGAAAGAGGCTTAAAAGCTCAGCTGGGTATGGCTAAACTGCCGCATGCAAGACCTTATCTTCAGTTTTAGGGAGAGCATGCTCCTTCTCTCTCTGCTGAATGAGGACACTCTGCTTCCCCTACAATGTGGAGAAGGAGCACTGTGGAAACACCAAACACCTTCCACTATAGGAGGAAGAGGGGAAGTCTCAGACTTGGGTTTCTTGCCTGGCAGGGCAGGGCATCATCACTAGGGCACTGCCTATAATCAGTTAAGTAAACAAGTGTTTCTTTTACTTAAAATGCAGCAGCAATAAAGGAGTGTTCCAAAGGCATCTATATTTCAGAAAGGAAATCGCTGAGACTTTTCTATGACTGAAAGCCCCTATTCCCCCTTTCAGCACCATCAAAATCTTGGGAAGAACATGGCTGAAAGTTTTATAAATTGACTAACTCCAAACATGCCTCCAATTATAATCTCGGTTTCTCCCAAGCAATTTAGGTTTGGTTCTATAGGTCAGCGAAGTGCAGCACGTTTAACTAGAGCAAAGTATCCTGTGACTCCAAGAGGCTCTCCATATGTTCATTATCCAACACCAAAATAATTTTATCAAGTTCATTTTGTTACATGAACACTAGCCTATATTCACCTCCTTGCCCATATTAGACAAACCACATGAGGCACCGCATAGAATATGTCTGCTCAGTGTCACTTTGGGGGATCCCTGAATAATAGGGTCCTCCTGAGAAGTCTGACCACCTGGCTAGAAGATTCAGCAAAGCTGGAGTGGTTTCATTCTGCGCTGGCAAATGAAAAGACAACAACCCGTAACTCGGCTGCCCTCTGGGCTCTTGATAAATTTATAAGACACTTAAATAACTAAATGCTGTAATTGTCTAAATATAGAAAACAACTTTATTACAATGCCTGTTCTTCCCCCTTCCCTGTTCTTCAGATACAGGGAAATGGTTTATTCCAGCAAACGTGGATCATTATAACAGGTTCTCTTCTCTTCATTTTCATTCATGCGCAAGACATCCTCTATGCAAAATTATAGGGTTAGGATTGTTCAGCCAATTGAGTGACCTGATTGGCTGAACATCGCTAAGTGCTTTTTTTAATGTGTGTTTGAGAATGTTAATGCCCCATTTATGTAAACTATTTACTTAAGGGGAGAAAAAAACCCAACTCTCAGAGGATAAAATGTCTTATTCTCAAGCAAGCACTGAACTGCAAAATGGTGAAAGGGAAATCAGGAGCTTCCCATAACCCGCTTGGTTGGAAAGTCATTGTTCTACAGAAATCATAAGGAAAGCAAGTTCTGCAAGCTTCTCGTTTAGGTCATGTCTATACTACCGCTGAAGTGGGCAAAACTTGTGCCACGCAGGGGTGTGAAAAAAAACACCCCCCTGAGCAACATAAGTTTTGACAGCATAAGTAATAGTGTGCACAGAGCTATGTCAACAGGAGAGCTTCTCCTGCCAACACAGCTATCACCGCTTGCTGGGGGTGGCTTAATTATGTTGCCGGGACAGCTCCTTCCCGTTGGCATAGAGCTGCTACACAGATCTTACAGCGGTACAGCTGTGTCGCTGTAAGGTCTCTAATGTAGACATGGCCATAACATAGAAATTCATGCTAGTGCACAGCTCCCCAGATGCCTCAAGACACAGTGTGGGGTAACTTTGCAATTAATGAATTTCACCCACATATTGCTCACAATGGCAACCAGCGCAAAGTATATGCAACACAACAGGTTACATAACTTGCTGGTTGCTATCTTTAAAGCAGACATTATGTATTGACTATATAAAGCAAGTCAGACATTTCTGCAAAAACGAGGGCCACCTTATCAAGTGACCACGTGCAGCCATCTGGCTCCTAAGTCACATTTAAGAATCCAGATGATTAACTATTTCTGTTATAGTAGCATTTAGAAACCCCAACTAAGATGAGGGTTCCCGTTGTGCTAGAAACATAGCAAGAGTCTCCACCCTGACTGAACAGCCTGCAGTCTAAACAGACAAGACAGAAGAAGGGTGGGAGGGGAATGAGAGGTAAATGATATGCTACCACTCACTGTATGACCTGTGAGCAAATCTCCCAACTCTCAGGCCGTGCTCTATCCACTAAGCCATAAATACACAGCCATCATACTTGCTTGTACTCCTAGTTTCCTTTACAGATGAAACAGAAATTGCTTGTTGAGTTCATAAGCAACAAAACCTGCAGCTGATCAGCTCTGTCATCACCCTGCACTTACAAGAAGAGGGTAAGATGCCCAGCACCAGGGTGGTAGGTGCTTGAGAGGAGAGACTAGACTGCAGACTCCTCTGTAGGACTCCATGGGTCACAGCCTTGGTTCCCAACCCATGTGCATCTGAGAACTGCTACGAGTCACACACACAAAAAGGCTCAAAGCCAAGAAATTCTTTATCAAGAAAACATAACACGTAAACCATGTCTGGTTAATGAGATCTTGTCTATCTTATGTTCATACACAGTTGTGTAGAGTCGAGTTAGCTGACGCAATGCTGACCACCATGACTGCCCAGTCAGCGTAAACCAGGGCAAATTCCGCTCAGTATTGTGACAGCTCACTCAACTCTTCATAATCAAGCCTGAACACAATAAAACTGTGTAATGCAGACAAGCCCTGAAGAAGAGTTCACTGTCCTTGGTTTGATGATTTTATTTATTTAGTTATTTTGTCCATTGGAGGCACTCTGCACTGGTGTGATGGGATGAATGTGTGAAGTCCAAAGCAGTAAAAAAATGGCAGGTATCAGTCTAAAAACGACAAAGAGGACATTGCCACTACATGTCATGGAGGGAGAAACCAATTTCTAAAAATTTGCAATTAAGCTAGCAAAGGGCTTGATTAAAAAAAAAATCCACTTGCCAGTGGCCAGGAGAAAACAACGAACAATCACATCTAGTATGATAAATAGCGGCCTGGAAAGCTGGTATGCTCTGACTGCTACTGAACATGGTAGACATGATTGTTACCAGTTATCTTGTCCTCCTTGCTTCCTCCAACCCCTTTTGTTTCTTATATCCACATTACGTGTAACACTGTACATTCTTCCTGGCAGGGACTTTTTTTTAGAATAAGCACAATGGAACCCTGATCCTTGTTGGAGCCCCCTAGACACAAAGCAGATAAACAAGAATAAATAATAATTATAATAACTGCCAGTAATTGCTGTTGAATTTAAGCTTTATTTTAAATAAAAACTACATCTCTATCCCGTCCAGCTCCAAAGGAAACCTTCCAACTGAGAATTAAGTGTGAAGAATCGATTCAGAACCCTTCCTCCCTTGTCTACACTACAAAGAGTTTGCTGGTACGCTATACTGGCAAAAGCGAGATCAGCTCCCCAAATGAAATAAGCTAGGCTGGCAAAATGACTTTTCTACATCTACACCAGGGCTTTTGTTGACTGACACAGCTATTATGTCAGTTAGGGGCATCATTTTTTCAGACTCCTGACAGCTATGCCCGCAAAACTTTTAAGTGTAGAGCAGGTCTAAGCGTGCGGACAGGGCATCTATCGCTACACATGTTTTCACGATCAGCAAAATGAAATTAACAAGGCCTCTGGTCAGTGTTGCTGCTGATATTCAGAACCCTGTGAGCATTTAATTGCCCTACTTCTTGGTAAAAGTGACAGCAAAAGCAGAGGCTGGGACTATTCACAGGAGGGAACGATTCAAAAATGGAGGCTCGGATAAGAACAGAGGAGAGGACCAACAACATGCAGGCCTGGGATAGGCTGGAAAGACAGGCCCTTTTAGACAGCATATGGAGCCTTTAAAATCATCAGACAGGACTAGCCAAAGGATAACAGATGGAGCCCCCAGGCACAATCTGGACACAGCACTATGGCAGAAATCAAAGTCCCTCCCTTTCCCCAGCAAGTAAGTTGGAGGGCAGTAGATTTTTTTACTGTTGCCCCAGGCCCTCACTGGTACACATCCTCCCTCATATCTGTAGCAGCCTTTGGCTGACCAGTTTAATCTGTGAGATACTAGGTGTCCAGTAACCTTTTTAAGCTCTGAACCAGCACCTCTTCTGGACCCAGTGCAAACAACAGGAGCCCAAGATACAGTCCCAAGGCCCTGCTTAGTAGGGAATAGTGACTACAGCAATCCATTCATCACATACCAGTATAGCCAATTTGGCCAAATGTGGGACACAGAGAGAGAGAGAAAAACTGAGGGACACATGAAAATTATGGATCAGGAAGCTTAAAATGTTGGGTCATTAATTTCCCCAACAGTAATCTCTAAATTTTGTGATAATGCATTTCTGATATGAATTAAAACGACCAGGGCCGGCTCCAGGGTTTTTGCCGCCCCAAGCGGCGCAAAAAAAAAAAAAAGTCGCGATCGCGATCTGCGGCGACAATTCGGCAGGAGGTCCTTCGCGCCAAGCGGGAGCAAGGGACCGTCCGCCGAATTGCCGCCGAATAGTTGGACCTGCCGCCCCTCTCCGGAGTGGCCGCCCCAAGCACCTGCTTGGCAAGCTGGTGCCTGGAGCCGGCCCTGAAAACGACAATACAGTAGTTCACAGCAAACTCATAGGGGAGGGACGGAGGTAAATTCTGAGCAGTAAAGACTGACAGTCCATAATGCTGGGATGCTTCAGAGGCATAACCCAACACAATCGCTAGCATAGCAGGAGCAGTGAGATATAGATCCAGCTCCACCAAAATGAGATGATGATGAACCGCAACTGCCACGCTGCCACCCAGCGCCCCAGTGATTTATATGGGAGACTCCTAAGGACGGGGAGGCCTCACACAGGTGCTGAGCTGTGGATCAAGGTAAACCAGCATCGAAATATATTTACCAAGTGGTTATGAAGGCCACACAAATGCCCACAGTGAAAACCGGGAAAGCGCGCACACGTGGTGGTACAGTAGCACCTCAGAGCGATGAACGCCTCGGGAATGGAGGTTGTTCGTAACTCGGAAATGTTCGTAACTCTGAACGTTTTGGTTGTTCTTTCAAAAGTTTACAACTGAACACTGACTTAATACAGCTTTGAAACTTTACTATGCAGAAGCAAAATGCTGCTTCTCCCCCCCCCCCCATTTATTTTTGTAGTTTACATTTAACACAGTACTGTACTGTATTTGCTGCTTTTTGGTCTTTGCTTCTGCCTGATCGTATCCTTCCAATTCCAAATGCAGCGTGTGGTTGACCGGTCAGTTTGTAACTCAGCTTCTACTGTGGGTGCCAAGGGGAGAGCAGCCCCCGGTCTCTGCCCCAAGGAAGGGAGAAGAGTTGAGGGAAAGAAGGCCCCAATTTTGGAGCTGGGTAAGGAGAGTGGGTATTAGCCCCTGGTCACTGCCATAGGAAGGGAAGGACATAGAAGAGGTATTGAGGAAGGGGGAGCAGACCCCACTCAGTGTTCGGGGAGGAGAAAAGACCTTGGGAGGTGGGGGGTGAAAAGAGCAGCCCCCAGTGTCCTAGGGAGGAATGCACTAGGGGAGATATTGGTGGGGTGCAGCCCCCAGTCATTGCCAAGGGGAAGCACACAGCGCTGGGGGAGGCATTGGAGGAGCAGCCCCCAGTCGCTGCCCAGGGAAAGCACCCAGCGCTGGGGGAGTATCGGGGAGCACGCAGGGCTAGTGGAGCTATCAGAAGGCAGCCTCCAGTCACTGCCCGGGAAGCGCACATGGCACTGGGGGGGGGGGTGGTCAGGGGGCAGCCCCAATCGCTTCCCGGGGGAGCACACGGCGCTGGTGGAGCTATCGGGGGGCAGCCTCGGGGGAGCATATGGCGCCGGGGGAGGCATCGGGGGGCAGCCCCCAGTCGCTGCCCAGGGGGAGCACATGGCGCCGGGGGGAGCACACGGGGCCGGGGGGAGGGTATCACAGAGCTGCCCCCAGTCGCTGCCCGGGGGACCACACGGGGCCGGGGGGGGATATCATAGGGCTGCCCCCAGTCGCTGCCCGGGGGGAGCACATGGCGCCGTGGGGAGCACACGGGGCCGGGGGGGGGAGTATCATAGGGCTGCCCCCGGACGCTGCCCAGGGGGAGCACATGGCGGGGGGGGTACCGGGGGGAAGCACATGGCGCCGGGGGGGTATCAGGGGGCTGCCCCCGGTCGCTGCCCGGGCATGCGGGGGCTCTGTGCGCCGCCGCCGCCTCCTCTCCATGAGGCGCCCACGTGGGTGCCCGGCCTAGTCCGGCGCCGCCGGTCGCTCTCCCCAGCCCCGCCATGCCCGGGGTCCCCCCGGCGCCCCTCACCTTCCTCCGGGTCGTCCTCGGGGTCGGCCGGCCGCGGCAGGGGGTTGAGCAGCTGCTCCAGCTGCTGAGCTAAGGGCGCCGCCATCTTCCCTGGGCGCCGCGCCGGGGGCTCGGAGCGGGCCGCGCTTCCGGGGGGGGGGGA